CTACATTGGCCATACTTCTTCATGGATGCCAAATTTTGGAGAGCAATTTATTTCCATAAGCTTGTTTGGAATGGAAAGACACTAATATACCTCTAAGCTTGGAGCGTCCTCATTAAAAGAGGAAAGAATGAAATGGTTCATCCTGCCTGATAAGTGAAGATTACATAGCTCATATTCCAGTATTTGGTGGATCTGTTACAAAATGTAAAGTAAATAATTTCAGTTATTGACATACTTTATATGCATATTATTTTTATCTTACAAACTTCCAAAAAGACATTTAAGCTAACATTGACATATGCATATTTCTCACTTAAGCTATCTATAAACTATCATTCTTTTAATTTCTTATCATATTAGAATAGTTTTCTGTTTTATTTAGGGAAGTTTGTTATAAATTGTCATTTGTGCCTCCATAGAAGCTTCAGTGTAAGCTCACCTTGTAGGATTTTCATAGGACAATTTCTCAGTGCTATCTGTGAACAAGGTGATCTTGTTTCCCAGACTTTGTTAGACAGTTCTGATTGCAAATATTCTGTCTCATTAAGTTGTTATAGTTTGTGTGTCTCAGTTTTGCTTCAGAAAAGATGGTCCCCTTATGTAAATAAAAACCAGTTGTAACATGAAAAGGCAGGGCTGTATCAGGAATTATCCCTGAAATATCCTGAAATTTTCATTTAATTGGAATCAGAAAATAAAATACCTGGTTTGAAGTTGGTCACTTCTGGTCCAACACTTTCCACAATTCCTGCAGCCTCATGGCCAAGGATCACTGGGAAAAAAGCCCCTTCATATTGAGGATGGATCATGTGGGCATCAGTGTGGCACAGGGTAGTGGCGATTATCTACAGAGCAACCATAGACTTGAGTCTTGTTTCTGTAATTATATTACTGGTGTGGTTAGGAGGATTACTTTAGTTCCAGTGTCACCTTGAAACTTTATATAAAACACTCTTAGAGCTCAATGAAAAAATTGCACTTTGGAAGAAAAAAAAGAACAATTCAAATACATTAAGATACATTCTTTCTTATTAATGCATCTTTGTTTTCTCCCTTTACTGTCCCTGGAAAATCATGCAAAGAGGTAGAATTGGCAGTTACTGTCTCCAGGAGAGGAGGGATCAAAGGTAATAGGGAAAAGTTAAAGTCTATTAGGTAGAGGGAGTGGAGGGAACACAGGTTTCTAGGGCTTGTTCAAATTTTGTTGAAACTATATGAAATAAAATTGAGGTAACAAAACTTTTATTGTTAAAAGGGAGATGTCAAATAAAGAATTGCCTAAATTAATTATGAATATTTCCCTGTAAACCTTCAGGATTCTGTTCATGAGGATATCCCACTCATGGAGAAACTCTTACTGTGGTGATCCTGAGGAAAAATATAAGCCAGGTCAGCTGTGGGGAAAATGGAGAAATTCATCCATTTTGTCGCCTATGCTCCCTCTCTGCTCAGTGCCCTCTCTTCTCCCTGCTGTCTCGCTCCTGTCCCCTGCCCTGGGCAGCACTTCAGATTTTTCCTTGTTTTGAACCACAATCTGAGTCTTCCTTTTAATAACACTTTCCAATAACTGGCAACTGGAAAACAAAAAGAGAATGTACCTAATTCTAATCTAAAATGAATTCTTTTGTCTGATTCTTAGGGTTAATGATTAATGTTAAGACAGTTCAATTAGATTTAAGCCCATTGTCAAGAACAACTGACAAATAATTATAATTCACTCTTTCTGGGGATAATGGGATAATGCCTCTTTGTTTGTTTATTTGTTTTTTCTTTTTTCATGCTGAAACAGAGAATGAACCAATGCTTGGTTTTAATATGAACCTAAAAATGTAATTCCCCCGCAGTGGAAACTCTTGGCACTCTCAGCTGTGCCGCATAGGCTTGACCTGACAGAAACCAAATCTGCATCTGTCCTGCCCTGGGAAAGTCCACACTCACCTGAATTCGAACTTCATGAGCTTTGGGGGGAGCTACCTCCACCTCTTCAACACTGAGAGGCTTGTTTGCTTCCCAGGCGACAGCTGCTTTGCATTTAATAACCTGAGGAAGAGGGAGAAAGGGAGAGAGGGAGAGAGGGGCAGAGGCGGTAGGGGGAGAAGGGAGGAGAAGAGGGAAGTGAGAGGGGGAAAGATTGGTGGGGGAGAGAGGGAGGGAGAGAGAGAGAGAGAGAGAGAGAGAGAATATCATGGGAAAAATTAAAGAGCATTTTGATGCCGTTATTTCATGAAAGAGTTTTGGAGTTTGTGGCTGGATGTTACATATAGTTATATTATTTTAAAGACAAGTGAATGTAATTGAAAATAAGAAGTCAACTTCTACATTAAGTTTTGAAAAGAGCAGGTGTATTAAAGTTTAAAGCCTTGATTTTTTTTTTTTTCTCCAGAACAGAGACAATAAATTGATAGGATTTGGACAGGGTAGATGGCCAGTATGTATTTGTTGATTGAACAAATTGTTATCAGATCTGTGTTACATGAATCCTTATTGCTAGAGCATAGATGTGTTTTTCATCTTTGCTACTCAAATGTGAACCTCCCTGACACCAGCAGTTATGGATACCACCTGGGAATTTGCTGGCCCTACAAGCCCTGCCCCAAATCCACTGAATCAAAACCTGCATTTGGATAAGATCCGCATGTGATTTATATGCACATAAAAGTTTGAGAAGTGAGGCTTACACAATTATTAAATTTATCAGTAGAATATAAATTAAATAAAAATTTTACCTCTTTGAATATAAATGTATGAAAAGAAATTAAGATTTAAAGGTTCTATAATCCCTAGATTAAAAACATTTTAGCCTCTTAATATTATATTTTTAATTTAGAATGTAAGTAACATTGAAGGGAAGTGGAAAAAACAAACCTACACTCCTTCATTCTAATGCTACTATTTTTACTTTTGATGATTTTCCCAGTCTTTGTTCACAAAAATACGTATTTTTAAATACCTGTTATGCAGTTTTGAATTATATTTTAACTATCATTTGTCTTATGACAAGTACAACATACATTAGTTATGGAAAGTTTCAAAATTCAAATAAAAAAAGAAACAATATATCTGTAATTTTGTCACTCATTTTATGATTTTGAAGTAAATATTTTGAGTTTTTCCACATGGGACCATATTGTAAGTAATGTTTTGTAATCTACTTTCTTCCATCTATTAATATTTTCCATATTCTTTTCTAACATTATTTCCAACGAATGCAAATTTTATTTTATGATTGTGAAGATGTTACTCAAATCTCTCTTTTTTTGGCCATTATAATAATATTTATTTGAACACCCTTGTAGTAAGCATTTTGGCAAATTTAGTTATTTCTTAGAGTAAATTCTTAGCATGAGGGTCACATATCTTTTTGATCAACTTTATTTTTTCTTCCCATTTTATTGAGATATAATTGATATACAGCATTGTATAAGTTTAAAATGTATGTAGCATAATGACTTGACTTATATACATCATGAAATGATGACCATGATAAGTTTAGTGAATATCCATCATCTCATATAGATACAAAATTAAAGAAACAGAAAAAAATTTTTTCCTTGTGATAACTCTTAGGATTTACTCTCTTAACAACTTTCATACATGACATACAACAGTGTTAATTACGTTAATCAATCATGTTGTACATTACATCCCTAATACTTTATTTGTCTTATAATTGGAATTTTGTACCTTTTGACTGTCTTCATCCAATTCTTCCTCCCCCCACCTCCCACCTTTGGTAACCACAAACCTGATCTCTTTTTCTATGAGTTTGTTTGTTTTTGAAGTATAATTGACCTACAACACTATGTTAGTTCCTGGTACACAACACAGTGATTTGATGTTTCTATACTTCAAAATAATTACCATGATAAATCTAGTTACCATCTGTCACCGTACAAAGATATTACATATTGACTATATTCCTCACACTGTGCATTTCATACTTATAACTCATTTATTTTACAAATGGAAGTTTGCACCTCTTAATTTTCCTCACCTATTTCTTTCAGCTCCCAAACCCCCATCCCCACCCCTTGGACAATCACCTGTTTGTTCTCTGTATCTATGATTCTGTTTCTGTTTTGTTATGTTTGGTCATTTGTTTTGGTTTTTAGATTCCACATATAAGTGAAATCATACAGTATTTGTCTTTCTTTGTATGACTTTTTTCACTTAGCATGATACCCTCAAGGTCCATCCATGTTGTCCCATAAGCCAAGATTTCATTCTTTTTCAAGGGTAGTAA